TACAGTGACTGGTGAGCCAGCAGTGGGATTCCTCCTGCTCCTGGAAAACCAGGTGTAAGGATAAGCTGGGCTTATGCTAAGGTACCTCAGCTGAAGAGCATTACCACAGATGTTACGTTCATGGAGGAGGGAGGGGTCTGAGATTTCACTGAGGCCTCTGAGATTATCTTTAGGTGTTTGGAGATGTGCTTTTAAGTATTGTGCTCTCAAGTGTCTCACACAGCAGGGTAAGCAAAGGTGTGGGCTGAGGAAGAAACCACCAGACGATCCTTTTCTTCTCACTTTACCTACCCCTGTTATGCTGCAAATAATGTACTGTGGTGTTTTTCACAGGAATCTAATGAAAAATTCTTTTTTTTTCTTTCAGCTATGATGAATGTGTGGGGCCAGGAGCAACACAAATATATATTCCCACAGATGATCCCCCCCCATATTCTCTTACGGACCCTTATCAAAGAAGTGAAATATCTATAAATATCTACATTAGCCAGGAAGAGGAAGCAGCATCTGGGACTACAGGACAGGCTGCAAATTATGCAGTCAGGCTGCAGGACTTGCAGCAGCCCATTTCATCCATCTCTGTCATCTCTCACTCTGGGGGCTGCCCCCCTGTACAGGACAGTGGTGTGTGAGCAGAATATCCCCATCCCACTCGTTCCAACAGAACTACAGAACAATTCTTCCACTGACTACCACACCCCAAACCACGTGAATAAAACTGGCTCTTTCCTGCAATTCTTCTGAGGAACTCAGACTGACAAAAATATTTAAATGGAAGGAATAAACTTCTGAAAGTTTTACCTATTTTATACCTTTAAACAGGGATGCAATGGGATTTTGGTTTTTTTACAGTGAATTTTGAAAGTTTACCCAAACTTCCCTCTTCGTGCTTCAGAGTGTTCCATGACATCACACAGCATTGTGGCAGCAGTGACAAGCAGTGCATCTGACCTTTTCGAAGCATTTCAAAACACATTGACATCAGCCACTCTTAATGAAGACACGTCACCCAGTCAAGCCTACTTGTTGATTTTATGATACTTTGCATGTTTTAGAGCAGAAGGAGAAAGAAGAGCATCTTGTTGGCATTGTAGGTGTCACTAGTACATTTAATTCAGTGTCTTGGCAACAATGCATTTTTTGTCTAAATTCTTTGTCTAAATATGTATTTCAGTAGCAGAGACAAAGCACTGCCTAAAAAAGATGACTGTCAGTACCACATAGAAGCAAAAGAAAAAAGGAGAATAATATTTTGATGGCCACATTTTACCTTTGGTACCAGGCTTCCCAGACCATTGCAAAGCCTGCTCTAAGTCTTCCTCAAAAGAAACTTTCAGCAAGTGACGGAGAGGTGGCAATGGATCCCCACACCCCAACTGGCTTTACCTGCAGAAGCTGTACCAAGCTGTGTGCAGGCCTGGGAGTTGCATGCCCTTCATGGGGACTTGCTGCAGCCAGGGAAGGGCAGAGGAATCCCAGGAGATGCTTCATGCCAGTTCCCACGCATGACTGCATTTTCAGGCACAAACCAGTCTCTTTCCTCAGGAAGGAGCCTGTAGTCTTACTGGAATGACCTCTAGTAGTTGTGTCAGTGTGATGTGAATAGCTGCTGGACGAGGCATGCACAGCAACAGAGAACATCACTGTGTGCAGAAACCTCAGAGCCGTTTCCAGGTTTGAGAAAGGAAAGCAGGAAAACAGCGCAGTGAGTAACATCAGGACATTTCCATGCCAATACACCAGTTCCCAGCAAAGGTCCCACAGCAATAGGTGCAGCCAGTGAGAGCTGCAGGCACAGGTACAGCAGTGTGTGGCAAGGAGTGGCCAGTGCACAGCAGCAGCCTTGTCCCCACAGATGTCCCCATCATCACTGGAGACAAGTCTGCTTCAACACTGAACCTCCCTCAGCCAGCCCAGCCCTGCCCAAATGGGGAGAGTGTGACACAGAGGGGCTGTCCACAAAGGGCATTTGGCTCTGGGGGGTGCAGGGCAGCAGGGACCCAGGCACACAGATAGCCAGTCCCCATGGTCACCTCTTGCTCCTTTGTCCATCCCAGATGACACTGGCCAAGCCCCAGGCACCTGCAGCCGTTGGCTATGCACAGCTCCCCTGGTGCTGGACACCTGACATATGTTCAAAAAGCAATGCAGCCCCAAACATTTGGTCTGTTCACCCTGAGCTGGGGGGAAGATGCATGTGTGGGAGAGGAAGATCTGCCTTCCCCATTTCCTTGCAATAAAAGTTGCAAGATTTGAACTAGAGGACAGCCCTGAAATCAAGGGGTAAGAGACCAAGGAGTGTCCAACTGCACATTTCCACCTGGTTGCCTTAAAGAAAACAGAGTTTGGATCCTGTTGTTCTCTTCTGCCTGGAATAGTCCCATTCCTCATCTGAAAGCTACTGTGTGTCTGGCTGAGGACAGACACAACCCACACAGAGAGCAAGGAGAGCTCAACCCTGCACTTCCCTTGGGAGAGTACCCTTGGAAAGCTTCTTTGCTGTGTTGTTTTAAAACCTGTAACTGCAAGAAACCCAAGCTCTCCTGTGCTTGCGCTCTACATTTCAAAGTCATTTTTAAGTGCTGTGTCTAACAGAAAACCCCTGGGTAAGTCTGGCTGCTACCAGGAAACACCCCAGAATTGACTCTAGGTTGTCAGCACAGTCAGGGATGGAGCACCAGCCAAGTCCATTGCCTTTGGGCATTCCCAAAGCCCAGGTTCCCTCTGGTGACCAGTGACAGGACCCGAGGGAATGGCATGAAGCTGTGTTAGGGGGAGGTTTAGGCTGGATATTAAGAAAAGGTTGTTCCCCCAGAGGGTGTTTGGGCACTGGAACAGCTCCCCAGGGCAGTGGTCACAGTCCCAACCCTGACAGAGCTCAAGGAGTGTTTGGACAATGTTCTCAGGCACATGATGGAATTGTTGGGGTGTCCTGTGCAGGGCAGGAGTTGGACTGGTGATCCCTGTGGGTCCCTTCTAACTCAGGACATTCTATGGTTCTATGATTAGGCATGATCCTTACCACTGAAATTTGGTAACCCCCAAATCCAACCTGGACTTCCCCCACATTCATTTGGTAACTCATGCAAACTGGAGACATTCACTACCAGAACAGCTGAGGTGAACTGCAGGTGTGAGGGTTCATCTTGCATGGTAGACAAGCACCCTGTCTCCACAGGAGCACTACACTAGACTACACCTTCAACCCACACCAGTTAGCAGAGTTAGCAGAGGTTCATCTCCACTAAATCTTTTGGAGCTATTTTCACTGACATTAAAGCAAATAAGGTTTTTACACTGGTAAAATGGACTTAAGTTTACTTTCCTCACTGAAGGATGCATAAAACTGAGTATAGTGAATATATAATTGTGTTTCATAGGAAGCATCATCCAAATTATTAAAATTGCACTTAGATTTTCTGTAAATACTGAATAATTTTCAACTGTAATCATCATTCAACACTCCGAAGATTGACACAATTATAATTAATACTTAGATGGGAAGTAATTATATGGTTCTTACTGCTCTATAAATTATACCATTACTGAGTCATATGCACATGATGAGATAAGGTAAGTGTGCATTTTTTTGCTACACAGATGACACTAAATATGTATTTTGTTAAAATAACAGAATTCTTTTGCAGTTAAGCAAGATTTTCAATATTCTCAGTGTCCTATAGCCAGAAGAGCAAAACCTCACAATTTTGCATGGCAGGCACTGCCAGGATGTAGGCTACAGTCCACATTTGTGTTTTCAACAGAGAACTATTCCTCTACAGAAAGTACTAGCTGAAACAGTTTCATGGTATGAAAAGTGTCCTGCCATAAGAGAAACAAAACTCTCCCCCACCTCTTAGGGGCCAGAAATGAAAACCAGCAGAGAAATAGACCAGTCAGTTTTATTGGCAGGAAAATCAGAAGTGAAGGAAAAGCACAGAGGTTTGTTTATGCAGAATAGGACATGCTTTCAGAGCTGGGTCTTCCTGCAGCTCTTGGAGATGTGCCTAGAACAGGGTAAGGCTCTGGGACTGGCCTTGCTTGCTGCAGGAGGGGGAATCTAATAAACAAAAATTAGAAGGGAAATGTGATTTGTTTTCCTCCCTGAAAATCAGTCTCTTACATGTAACATGACAAACCTAAGGTTCTTCTGAAGACAAGCACAGAGGGCTTTTCACATCTGGCAGACAAGCCTCTACTCCATTACAGATCCTTACAGTTTCTGTGCACATTGGGAAATGCTTTTGACCTTCTTAACAGGGATTTCATGCCCTTCTGTTAAATTTCTATCCGTGGTTTACAAAACAAGGTGATTTTCACTAGACCTCTGATGAAAATGGGAGATTTATATTTTACCTCACGATAGCAATGCTTTAGTAAGGCTATAAAAAACGAATCAAAGTCTTTATTCGTTTGGTAACAGTGAAGCATCCTGCGATCTGTGCTGTGTGCGGTAGCACTGCTTACACACAGCTGTGTGCTCCCTCTTGCGGTACGGACTGCTCCGGGGAGCTATCCCGGAGCTCACCATCAAAATAATCCCAGCTGCTCTGGCACACGGAGACGGAAACCAACCAAAACATACACCCAGACTGTAGCATTTTTCTAGGTACCACTGAGTGCATGGGTTATGTCATTCGTTACAAACACGTATTTTTAAAGAACAAACTGCGAATTGGAGTTTGCTGCCTTCAGTGACACCTTACCATGATCACTTGCGAGACTGGCTAAGAGTTTTCTACTCGTGTTAATCTTTTTAACTGGGTGAAAGCCAAAAACGTTGGGGAGGGGGGGAGAAAAAGCTTATAAACCCAACCCATATACCTCTGCAGACAGACAGCACTAGGAAGGCAAGTTTGTAGCTCTAAAGCACTTAAAAGATATGTTTTAGCTGTAAAATACTACAAAGAGAAGTTTGCAGATCTAAAGCTGCTCCAACAGCTTCTAAGGCTACTACTGTGACAGTGTTGAGGTTTCTTGTAATGATGCAATAAGAATATATTTTCGTTTCTTGAAGAATATTTAAGATCTCAGATAAATCTCAGAAAAGCTGACAGTGTCTCCTGATGCTGCTCTTAAGAAATTCATATCCTGCTACCAGATTCTATCCTAAATTTGTGCATAACTCTAATGCCAGTGCTAACACCCAGGCGTAACACAGGCCTTTCACTTATCACATGGCCAATATCAGAAAGAAAACTGTTGGGACATGCTGTTTCTTGCTGCGTGATAACAATACTGTATTTCTGTAGTCTTCTCTTTTGCTTTGGTTTTTAGTATACCGATCTTTACACAAAACTTTTAGTAAAGAACACACACCTATTCAATATCGTTTCTGTGCTTTGTATTGCGTCGGTAGCACCTTGGGACCACCCAGAACCTTCAGTCTCCTGTTCATCAGACAACTGAGCAACTGCTGACAAGGCAGCATTGTGCTTCAGTCACTTCCATTTGGATTTTACATTTGTCAGAGACCACAGGAACAAGCAACATCAGAGCAGTCAGGTCTCTCCTGCTCAGGGGGACAAGTCAGTGTGTGCCCAGCCAAGATCAGCTCAGCTCAGCAAGAGCAAGAAGAGAAGAGTCTGTAGTATTTCTGCAGTGAAAACTGGTACCCTAGAAATACTCTCAGGCATTTCTAGAAGCATCAGAAACCCTCACAAACATGTTTATAGGTACCTCTGAAAGTTACTAAAGCCAGGACACTGGAAAAAGGCAACACAATACTGAGGAAAAAGATGAAA